AAAACAGAAAAAAACCCCAGCCTGAGAGATGTCTTCCTTTTTTTTTTTTATCATCACTTTTTCTTCCTGGTTCTCATGCACTGATACATAGCTATGAACATTATTTGCATTGCCAATCGGAGGGAAGGTTGTTTTTTAAAAAAACTCAACATAATCCAATTAAAATTTCAGGTTTTGGCCTTTCCTAATTACTAGTACTCCCTTAAATATGGATATTACCATTTTCTTATTATACTTTTCAAGTACCTTCTCTTAAAATCAACAGGTAAAAATTACACGGAAAAAGCATATGAACAGGCATCAGAAAAACAGCCACATATTGCAGCATTGTTAACCAGCTTCTGAAAATTACAGCTTCATCTCCTGCTCACAGCCAGACCTATAGATATTTGGACACTTGCTATCATTACAAATGCAGTGGGGGTTTAGGTTTGCGCCAGGTAAGAGAGATGAGAATCTGGCTCACAGTCTGAATTTCTAACTCTTCACAGAACAAGAGAGTCCAAACATATTTTAATCCTTTATAGCTGCTCTACATAGACAACTAAAGATCTTTATCACAATAAAAACAGAAGGCACTGCCACAGAGTGTAATTACATGCTACTATAGTTGACTGTTGTCTTCCAGAAATAGGAAATGGTTTGAAAAACACATGGTTTCCTGCTTGGGCCATACTCGGAGTTCCTTAAATAAAATCCTACCCCTAATTCCTGTGCAGATAAAATGGGAACTCTGATATTGTAGGGCTGAGCAAATCTTGAGAGTGGGCTTCAAGATCTGGCTTGACAGTAGTCAGCTTTCTGAACCAGTGAAGTGTCACCACAGTGGAAAATCAGGTTTAGGCGCCGCTCTCTTTTCAAACCAACCAGAAGTTCGTGTCCTAGGCATGGGGAAGGAGTCAGTTTCTTATCATTATTTCTCCTCTTCAGTCAGTTAAGAACCCAAAATCTCAAAGCAGTCTGCCCTGTGGAGTTCCTCCTTTCTGATGGCAGCCTACCATTGCAAAAAAACCCACAGGTAACCCTCAGCGCTGCACCAAGCAAGGACAACTTACTGCACAAACCCCCAGCAAAGAAACTGGGATGGGGTTTACATATCCACAGCTGCATCCGTGCTCGGCAGCCAGCTGGGAAAAATGCGCTGTCTCGTCTGAAGGTCCGTAAACTGCTCGTCAGCCATCAGGACAAGTAGGTTTCAAATATCCACTCAGTGCCACATTCCTGATTCCTCTAAGAGGCCTAAATTAGGATCGTTGTACATATCCCTAGGATCCCTGCCAAAGTCAAACGTTTTGGTAAATGAATCATTATCAGACAGACTTCTTTTGAAAATGGACTGTTTCCTCTAACTCTATAGCAAAAAGAAAAAGGCAGGTTCTTGCTTCTTCTGAAAGAGCATTTTGTTTTTAAAAAAAAGTCTCTACTGGAGTGTAATTATTGTGCTAAGTCATTATCAATAAATTAGAAAATGTACAAAAGACTCAAAAAGCTCCATAAAGTTGAGTAAATACGATCTGGAAGAAGTGCCTATGAATCACACACCATTTCTCTGTTACTATTAAATAATAATGGTTCATACATTTTACTATGAAACTTTCTGCTGGAGATGTTACGGATCTTTATAAACATTAATTTCACCTCGCAGCCTCCCAGGATGGGAAGCACCATCTCCATATGGAAAAGCTCAGGGAGCAGAAACGTGCCGTTCATCTCATGCAACACAGAAGGCTGCAGCGGGGCTGGGACCGGAACGCAGACCCTCGCCTCCCATTTTGTACACTAACCACAAGGTCACCAAACGTCACCCGTCTATTTTATCTCCTCACAAAAACATGTTTGATCCGTACTTCTGTTTCTTTTCTCAGTCAGTAACTCTTTTTGAAAGCGAACTGCAGTATAACTGACAACCCCAAATGCCTTTAGAAATGGCAGACAGGAGCGATGTAGCACAATGGGGCCACGACATATGGATGGGTCCTTCCACGTACTTACACGTCTTGCCCATTACACCTTACCCACAGTAACTTAAGGTGAGCGAACACATTTCTTCCCCAAACCCCAGAATTTCACAGCCTTCCAGCAACCATTTCGCAGTACAAAACCATGTGCACTGCTGGCACGGCACTAGCAGCACAGAAAAGAAACTGTGACTCGATTTTAAAGGGAAATATTTGCTGCTTAGAAAATCATTCAGATTATTAAGGCACTTTGTTTCAAAAGCAAGTCAACATAACAAAGCCTGGCCCCCCACTACTTGGGTTATTCACATATTTTAAGTCATTCCCTGTCCCTACTCCAAGGATCTTTTACTTTAGTAAGAGTTCTCTCCCTCTGCTCTACGCTTTTCCCACTCCATCCCTTTTCAGTACTTGCTTCTCTCCTCATCCTGCTCTCTTGCTGTCTCTAGTCTCTTCCCCTCCTTTCTTTACAGTCATTTCCATTTTCTTTGAAATGTTTTGGCATTTAATGCTGGCTTTATTCTTCCTTCTCCATCTGCTGCTCTTGTCTTTCTAAATCTCTTCTGGAGCCTTCTCTTGGGAGAAAGCGAGAGCTTTCCACTTATTGCCTCCTCTTTCTGGATTTCAGTTCCCTTCTTTTTCTTTATGGTCTTGGAATCAGACAAGCCTCCTCTCCCTGGAAGCTGATATACCAGCCACAGTGTTGTCTTACCAGCCCCACAATAGCTGGTACCATGCTGTATCCTATCTGCCACTCCCTTTAAATACCAGTATCTCAGGAAAGGCATTGTTAAGTATTTGGCATTTCTCCTGTGTGTTACAGAAAGCAAAATTACTGGTAGGTTTTACTCTGCTGCCTTGTGCTCAACATTCGTGGAATCTTCTGGCCAGGGAGACTTGTTCCACCAGCTACAATCCAATTTTAACAGGGAGCTTCCCCTTCCCTAAGGGTTTTCTCCTCTGTAAAAATCTTCTATTTCATTATCAGGACTTACAGGGAACAAAGGAGAAATAACCAAGCTTAACTACTAACACTGACTTTATACAAATCTCCCCTATATTGTCTTTCCAGCATCTTTTAATTCGGGACTCAAAGGCTCAACTCTAAGATGTGTCTCCCTGGCCTGTTCACTCGCCTCTGCTCGCAGGCAAGGGAAATCGCTGCGACATGTGAGATGATGTGGACAGTCGCAATCGGAAGCCCAACAGCAAAATCCTTTTGGGAAACATTCGGTCGTATCTGCACGTGTACCTTTTAGCTAAAACAAAGGACATAATACAAACTGATCACAGATTAAGCAAAGCAAACACAAAGGTGAAAGGATTTCTTCTGTTACAAAGTTGTGTTTATTTCCAAACTTCAATCTCAAGCCTGACTTTCTGTGAAAGTTTTCCTCGTATTTGTTATCAGCCAATGTGTGTGTGTTTGTTATTGTACCTCAGCACGGAGAATGATGCCTTCTAAAAGCTTTTGCTTTCAGAAAGGCTGAAGGAAAATAAGCACCAGAAAGTTAAAAAAAAACTTACAACCAGCAAGATGGATTCTGCAAAGAGAGATAAGACTTAAGTCACAAAAAATACACATCTTTTACTGTTACAGTTATGTTGCCAATGCACAGAAATAAAATATAAGAAATGAACCATTTATCAAGGATTCAAAAATGAACAAGAGCATTAGCAAACACTAAAGCTTACAAAAGCCTCAAAACATGAAGATTCTCACTTCTACCACAAACTCAAAAGATACAGAATGAGAGTCAGCTGTTTCTTAATTTTGCTTTTTACATTTCATCCACCAATTTTCCTCTGTCACAGAGATTTTGCTGTATTCAATGCCTAGAATATACTTGACTGATGAATGAACAGCAGCTATCAACGCAGTGGAGAATCTGACACCTATTCCTCTCAAGGTTTTCCACTGTTGTTTTTAAACAAATAAATGTTTTAAACACAAAGCATGTTCCTATTTATTACTATCTGAAACGGAAATATGTATGTAACAAGATATCTGAAATGGGCTCAGCTGAAAACCAAAAAGAAACCAAGAAGGACCATGATATGCTCATTCTGCCCCACTCTCCTCTGGCAGTCTGATGTTCATGGCCTCCTACTTCCCATCTGAAAACAGCTAATTCTCGTGGCTACAAGTGATTCCATGCAAAGCCATGACAAGTGCACCAGCACGAAAAGTGAGAACATGGAAAATAATTCACCCAGTTAATTATCTGAAAGTTATTTACAATGATAACAACAACAACAGATTTTCAGATAGAAGCCCGATTTAAGCTGACTGACCCTTTCAGCATTTCTAAAGAAATTATGTATTATAAAACTAATTCAGTGAAAAACGAATGTAAAAATAGAAGTGATGAGACATCTTCTACATAAGCAAAGCTGCTTTTGCAGCATGCTGAATAACTGGAGTGTGGTAAACATACCATTGTTATTTATAACATCCAGCCTTTTGACATTATTCTTTAGTTAATTATTTCAAATTCTTTATAAGCATTAATGAAGCAAGCCTCATACTTCTCCTGCAAAGTGAAGAGAATTACTCCCATATATAAGAGGAAAAATGAAGACAGAGGGATAAAAACCAACTCTCCGAAGTTACTGTGGCACACTTGTACAGAGAATTCAGGAGGTCTCAGAGTATAAGAGAAAAAACATCCTCTCATCCAGATGAGAGCACTTACTAAGTGACCAGTTTGTAAGATTTACACATCATTTAATTTTACACAAAACGTTGCATCAATATTTTTAGATTTAACCATGACTAGTAAATTACTAAGACATACTGAAGTTTTATACAGATAAGTAAGGTCTAAACAAATTATTTTTAAATGAAAACTCTTAACGATTTCTCCCAGCTGAGGCACTTTTCTGCTCCAATACCTAATCATAAACCCATTAAAAATAACATTTCGTGTTAAAAACGCTAGCAGCTGCTTAACTATCACATACAGGATTTTGTTCAGATTATAGATAAATAAACACCAAGACCTGGCACAACAATATTAGTAAGTAATTGTATCTCATTACCTTTGTGGTCTTCTTGGGCCAGCTGACCACGGGGACACCCGAAATGGCAAGATTTTGGTCATCATCAGCATGTTCCTTCAGTATGTTCTGTTGCAAATGAAAAGGTCTTTATTAACCAGAGAAATATTTCTCCAACTTCAGAGTGCAGGGACTTACAGAAGACAATATTCCACTCTGATGAAAGACAGAGTGACAAGATCTCTGCTGACTTGTTACATCTCTGCAAGTTACTTTCCGTTCCAAACTTCCAATTCACACCGAAAACTCTCACACCTGTCATTAAGATCCAAGATGTGAAGCTTCTTGCAGAACAGACAACAAAATCAGCTATAAATCACCTCAAGTATTACAGACTTCTTTAAAATTGGTGTGTCCAAAAAGACCGGTGTTTTTCCACTGGTATCAGTCTACCACCAGTATCACCTCTCCCGTCGAACTCCAGCTCACCAAATCCCAAACAAGCCTCACCAGTCACCACAACCAACACTTTTTCTCCTAATGAGGTCTACAAAAGACCTGAGAAGCATCTAGGCTCTGCCATCATTATTTCTGCAGTCACAGGGCATCAAGTGTGTAGTTTAGAGCAATCCTCAGATGCAGAACGCTCGGGTAAGTCAAGATACACAAGTTTGCATTGTAACCTTTCGTCTTTCTGCACGCAGCAATTCAAGGGCACCATCATTTCCACCAGCCTTCCTTCCACACCGATGGGCAGGCCAGAGCTGTTGTAATCTAGTTCACTTTTCGTCATCAGGTAAGGCATTCAGGTTCCTGACTATTCACTAGGGAAGGATCTGACTCTTGATAGTACAGTATTAATGAAAACAATCGGTCTCTCTTCCCTTCCACCCCCACCAAATCCTTCTGCTTTGATGCACTGTCCTAGACTTATGAGTGGGTTGCACTGGCTTACACAGCTTCTACTGCTGTGAGTCACTCCCATGACCGTGTAACTCAACACAGAGGTGGGGAAGAACTCTTCTCCAAGCATACTCAATCGTGCAGTTGGGAATAGTCCACGCTCGCTTCCCATGACTCTCTCCCATGTACTTACTAACCTAGCTACAAAGCTCTTCATTTGCAGTTCAGGTAGCTGAAAAAGACAATGAATGAAAACAAAAAAACAGTCGGAAGGAGGGTTCTGCTGTGCTGCTGAAAACCGAAAACCAAATAAGCACTAACAGGTGAAGGGGGAAAAAAATGCTCCAATAAAACAAACAAGAACTACAGGTTGGAAATTACCTCGTAATAGAATTTAGGAGATAACCCCAGACAATGAAGTTCAACGGCGTTGCTCCCAAGTACACCAACTTCTTGAAAAAAGCTTAATTAGACAACAATAGGCACCAGGCTCTCTTAGTCCCCAGTGCAGAGCTTCAATAATCAGAAATTTCACACACTACACAAAAAGAGCTTAAAATACAGTAACTGAATAGGAAGCGCACTTGGAATTCATCTGTAATCATCCAACTAAAGCCAGGAGTACGATGGCATGTTCCAGGCCCCAAGAGCCCAAGCAGGCAGACTGGCATCTACACTAGGGTTTGGAGGAGTGTCCCTGGGGTTGGCTTTCTCTCCCTGGAGCTCAGGCAGCCTGCCGGATCCATCTCAATTCCCCAGTCTGTGCTCAAATGAGAGACACTTTACTAATAGACGCTACAGCACCAGCACAGTGCTGTTTTTTCAGACACAATCATACCAGTAAGGCTGTTCTTGATACTGGTTAGTCCGAAAGCAGTGCCAATGACCAAAAAAAGCAGTACTGGTACAAGCCCAGTTTTGTCAGCCTGGCACTGTGGCTGCACAGGAGCTTGCATGGGCACAGCCTGGCTGGTGAGGAGGAAAACACAGCTTGCCCCAGCCTGACTGCGGTGTGGAGCCTGTAGTGAACCTTCAGCTGAAACAGCTAACGACTTTACAGATGGGCTAGTCATTGGCAAATTAACTCTCAGCTGAGCTGAGGTTAAGTAAGCACCTCTTTTCTCACGTCTTTTTTCTTTTGAGACAGTGGCCATTGCACTAACTGAACTGTGACCACATTCTGAAAGTTAGTTTTCAGTCCTGAAAATGGAGAGGTCTTTTGTGTTCTCATAGCAAAGCCAAAATTCTCCAGAACAAGGCAGCAGCTTGAGAGCTATATAAACAAAGGACAAATTAATCCTTCTTTACTTTGCTACTCTCGGATTTGAAAGCCTGTAAGATAGAAAACCTTAACATTCCCACTAATGACTGTCAGAGGCTTCCAGTTCAATAGAAAGCAGAGTATATTCCAAGAACTTGGCAGGATAATGAAGGTTTCTTGTTATCGCCCGTATCACGTGAAAATATTACCCAAGAAGAAATGCAAAACTACGGCAGTTTATCATCTCAGCCAGCTGAAAACAACAGATATCTGAGCATTGGAACCATAACCAAGCCACGTTTGCACCGACTGTAGTGTCAGGTGTCAGCACACAACAGGCTGGAGGAAGCAGACTTTTGTTCACCC